GAATAGAAATTATAATAATTAATGGACTGATATTATACATATTACATTTATTCATTGTTACTATCATCCCCGTAATCATCTGTCCAACAACCAAGATAAAACACATATTAGTTTAATTCAAAGGCATCAACACTTTAGACAGCTGAAGAAAAATATTGGACATCAAAATAATAATTTTTCCACAAAATTTTCTTAAAATCATTTTTTATTTCCCATGAAGTAAAATTACTTCACTCTATGCTTCACAGAGAAGGATGTCATCACTCTAGCTTATTGTGACTAAAGAAATTCAGCCTCTGGTCTTCCCTTTACCAATGCCATCATAAAACATAAAAAAATATAAATGATGCCAATTGTTTGCAAGTAATATTGCATGTAACAACTCCATTTGAGATGAGATTATACATTTTACTATGACAAAGGCAAAGCTTATGAATATTAATATTCTCATGTTGATGATGCTTCATAACACTCTTGGCGCTTTCTGTCACTTGTCCTAATTAATATTCATGAGTCTCCCTTTGAGTAATTCACTTAGGCCTACTGAGCAAGTGTCACATTATGTAATCAATAATGTTTATGAACCGAGTCTAAACTTTAGCAGGATTTGTAGTTTCATGCTGTGGTGCAATCAGTTCAGCCATGGCACAACAGAAAAATGCTGAGCAGTGGATGTGCTTCTAGTTAGTATAAGGCTACAGTTTCTATTCAGTATGAAAGGGAACCCAGGTTCATATTTTCAACCTTACATGTCATTTAAAAATTTAAAAAACAAGCAAAAACTTGCATAACTTGACCGCCATTTAACTTGACAATCAGTGATCACTATGCTTTTTTATCAGCTCTGACTTTTCAATTATTCCCTTCTTTTGTGTTCCGCGTGACAAAAGTCATATAAATTTTTATTCACATAAAAAGTGACAGATAATAACAGAATTTTTGGTTTAAAGCAAATTATCTGCAGAATGTGCAACTGAATTCAGGGCTCCAGTGGTAATAACACCTGGAAATTGTGAAATTAATAAAATGTTGAAAAGTTATGAAAATTTCCATGGTGAAGTATACATTTTCATAGTTATGCTAAATTCTAAAAATGTTTTTAAAAATCCTTATTAAAAAATCATGATGAAGAGAAGATGGAAATTTTTGGGACAAAAGGTGTGGGAACCCTGTGGATTGAGAATGGGTGAATGGGTAATTTCAAGCAAACAATGTTTTAATCATGCAACCTAATTATCCAAGTTACAGGTAATGATTTAGAGATGAATTGCAACATCAATTTAAAATCTGTAAAATCTGAGGAGGAATGTGAACATCTGCTGAGAATATGTTGTGGCCTGTGTGTGTTTCAGGTACAGCCATATGAGTTTAAACTTCAGATATACGGTTTTCTGAGTGCACACATGCGAAGCACACGCACAGAAAGCGGCTGTCACAGCATGTGAGTACTAAACTAAGTTCTCATTCACACACAAGTTTACATTAAAAACACACACGAGTTACAAAAAACAGTGGGTTATGTCTGTGAAGGTCTGATTTTCATGATATATATGAATAAAAATAGCATTCAATTAATATACATATAAGCCATTTTATTTATGTTCAGAAAAAGAGATAGAAAAGTGTTTATCATATGAGCGCCATGTGCAATCAGCATTTTGAGGCAAATCTGTGTGTTTGTGTAAAAATATGTCTGTTGTGCATTGTGCTTAATTGTCAGCCCATGGTGCATAAATAAAACAACCTACTGTGGAATACGACACAAATGTAGAAGTCATTATCTTTTTTACATAAATGCAACCAGTCCTAAAGAGATTAAAGGGAAAGTATCCTCTATTAAGATTCTACTGGATCTTGAACATTCTACTGGAGTAGAATGTTATTTGAAATAGTTTATTCAGTAGAATCTCATTTGATTCTTATTCAAGGGCGTAGAATTTAGTAAGGACGCTGACATGTCCCTAGCGCAATATCTAGAGACTACTGTATTGTCCCTAGCAATATTTTTGATAAAACTATTGAATATATTTGTATGTAAGCACTAGTGTTGTTGTAATTTGGGCTGCATCTGAAGTAGGTCACACCATTGATATTAGCTGAGAAGTTAAAGAAATAAACGGTGTGCTTTCAAGGACTCATATTTAATAGATGTGTGGAGTAAGAACATATAAGAGCCGAAGTGTTTGAAACGTACAAGCAGAGTTCAGCTGAATTATCAAGTTTATCCTCTTATTGTTCTGATGTTTTGTGTTCATCTGCTCTTTTCACATTGACTATCACTCTATATAGACTAATACAATCACATACAACAATCATTTCTCAAATATTTATTACAGTATATACTGATAAAATGAACATTCGATTCAATGTTATGAGAGACTGGATGCATTCAACTGATTTCCTATTGAACTGCAGCTCAAACTATTTCAAATACAGTGAATTAAGCTACAAACTCAATCACCCGCGCACCGAGTCCTGGGCTGCGTTCCAGTCCATTTTTTATGCCCTTCACTCGCAAACTTCCCTCCGTCTCGTTGACTCGGATGTACGTCATTGATTACGTTGCATGAGTGCCCACTACTGGCCGAACCCTTGCAATGGGCTGAACTGGAACGGCCTAACCCCTTGATCACTTAGAATCTGCTGTGGAGTTGGATTATTCTTTACATTTTTCCCTTGTTTGGTGCAGCATCCTATATGTATAAAGGTATGCTTGGGCCGTTATAAATGTTAAAACAAAATAATTTATATATTATAGAGTTGTTTGGGGGTGTGGAAAAACTAAACGCGATCTGCGATGACGTCATAATTGTGCTGCATTGTGGTCTGTGGAGGTGGGTTGTGACGGTGAGGAAATGTTCCCACCGGTTAATCGACGTTTGACAACACCGGTAATACCGGTATCACTGCGGGCGGGGGGCGTTCCCTCTTTTCCTCGCTTTCCTTCGCTTTTGAATAGCTTGTAAAAGCGGCGTGCGCATTTTACTTTCACTTTCAAATTAGCCGCAATTCAGCTTTGATTCAATTCAAGCAACAACAACATCAAACTCATAGAACTTTTATTAACAAAACGAATAAAAATACACCATAAATGCCTAATAAAATAACAAATTACTTCAGCTACACAAAGTTTAAATAGGTATATAAATAACTGAAAATCAGCAAACACTGTGGAACCAAGTAAATAAGAAACAAGCATCTGTCCTCTAACTGAACTAGGCTAAATGATTTTTGTTACTATAAAAAAATCTAAACGACGGTGGGGGGCGGTGGCGCTGTAGGCAAATGACGTAACCGGTGTTGCGGCTTCACACCGGTATTACCGAAAACACCGTCTATCGCAGCAAGCCTAGTGTGGAGCAGTCTGAAGTGTGCATATGAAGCAGACTCGCTCCCTCGGTCAAAATCGAGGGGTCGAGGGTTTGTCGATATAAACTTCCCTCGTTCACTTCACGAAGTGGAACACACTTCAGAATGGCAGCAGGGATTCCCCCGAGGGGAAGTGCTTAGGGAAGTTCACGAGTGCGTGTCTAAAAGTGGAGTGGAACCCAGCCCTGATCTGAAATGATGGTTCGCGAATCATTATTCAGATCGAGACTTCGGAGTGCGAAGCGAATCATTTGATTCAGATTGGAACTTCGGAGCAGGTTTGCAAATCTTGTTTTTTTCTTTCTTTTTTTATTAAACAGTAGAAAACATAAAACCATTAAGGCAGTAGGGCATACATTTATAAAAACAAAAAGAAAGAAAGAAAGAAACTATGGTTTTTGTATAGGCCTAACCACAATTTTACTACAAATACCATGGTTAAACTATGGTTAGTGTAGCAAAACTATGGTTAATTTGTCATTACCATGTTTTAACTATAGTAACCATATCTTCTTCTTTTTCTTTTTTTGAGTAAACCCAGGTAAATAAGGGATGTGTTGCCATGTTAAGAAGAAAAAAGTAATAAATGTTCACCTTAAGAGGACACATGATGAATATAGAGATGCAGTTTTCACTGCTTTAGGATTCACAGAAGTTTAGATAGCTTCCATATACTCGTCTAGATCAACTCTGAATAAAGAAAACAGAGGTTTAGAGACAGATTTTTGTTTCTGTATGTTACATTTAGCTAGCAGGAAACACATATGAATTAAGTTAGGCTATATTTTCCTACATTCTCTTTTGAGTAGTCAAACTGAGTCAAACTTCTCAAAAGGAGATCAGATGAACATAATGTCTCTGTGTGGTTCACTGACAAACAAGTGAATGAATCTTCCTCAGAAGAGACAAAAACAGCAGCTCACTTCAGTGTCTGACTTATATTAGAATCACGTCCAGAAGCTTTTGGTGAAATTTGGAGAATCTCATGAATCTGTTGTTTTAGCTCTTCATATTTAAGGAGAGAACCAGCGTTTAACTCTCTGAACCAGAGCGAAGGAAACCCGCATGTGTTTGACAGTAAACTGATGCTAAACTCTCACCAAGCAGCGAGTGCAAGTGAAGACAGACTTTGCTGGGTAAAGGACACTTAACTTAACACACGGGTAAGACACTCACATGAAGAGATGTGACCAATTCAGATCAAACTTTTCTCATCATATGTTCATCTCTGGTAGTTTATCTGGCATATTCCTCACACTAAACCAACTAAATGAAATTATGAGGAACAAAACCAAATGTTGTTGTTTAATCTCGGTGTCGCAGAGATTGGTTTGATCAGCTGGGGTTTAAAGACATTACGCCGGTTCCTGAGCAGTGGAGGTCAAATCTGATTAGCAGACCAAAACCACAGGAACGAAGTGTAAGATTACTCCATCCATCCATTAGTTCTCACACACACACACACACACACATCAGCACTAAACTGCTTCCATGGTAACAGCGCGTCTCCTCCAGAGATCACGAGAACAAAAGAGGATCCGTGTGAAGCTGTAAATCAGGCCTTCATCCGTATGTTTTCCGGCTTCACTGCTCCGTTAGGGTTCACGTCTCGGAGACGAGGAGGAACGTACCTGATCTTGATGTCGGGGAGCGGCGCGCCGGGCTCGCAGTAGATCTGCGGGAAGTAGAAGCGCTGAGATGGGACGTTAATATCCATGATCATAGCAGAGGAACAGGTGCTTCTGGAATCCTGCTTCTCTCTCTCGCTCTCTCTCTCTCTCTCTGCGGCTCGGCTCCCCTCCCCCTCTTCCTCCTCTCTCGCCGCTAACGCTTCAGAAAGAGCATCTCAGTCGCCTCGCACGCGTGTGAGACGTTCACCGGTGCATTTCATGAGCGCTCTTCTTCTGATAAAATCACAACAAAGCTGGGAGGAGCGCTGCATGTGAATATGAATATGAGTGTTTGTCAATGAAGCTGCGCTGATGTCATGCTTTGTCCGTGACAGCAGCAGAGACGGAGCGCTGGAGCTCAATGAAGGGATGCTGTGTGATGCAGAGGCCGCCTGACTCCGCCTCGCCACCGCGCCATTGGCTCAGAGCATTACAAGGCTCCTCCCACTGCTCTCCAGTGAGTATCCTCTCATCAGCCCCTCCCCACTCACACTGATGCTCTCTCTCTCTCTCTAATTACAATGAAAAGGCTGCAAACTGAATTAAAGGGGAAATGAAGCTTTATCTGAATGCTCTGAAACACTAACTAGTGTTCAGTTAAACATCCACACAACATCTAACAGAGGACTAGTTTAGAGAGAGAGAGAGAGAGAGAGAGAGAGAGACTGCGGTGCACCAGATGACACACTGACACAATTACTGTAATGGATAGATTGATTTCATAAAACAGCTGACTAGAAATAATACAAAAGAAACAAATTCATAGACAGACTGATAGAAAAACAAATATATAATGTATAATAATCAGATAGACAGACATGTAGACAGATAGACAGATACAGGGTGTCTACAGATATGAACAAGTTAAATTTAAGACTTTTTAAGACCTTTTTAATACCACCTTATGTGAAATTTAAGACCAAGCCTGTGATGGAAATACACATTATATTACATACGTATATGTAATATTTAATGCGTTTAAATATAAAAATAAAACAAAATATCATCGCTTTCAAAAATGCTATTTGTTATTATGATATACAGTGAACTTTTCATATCAGCAGACAATATCCCATACAAAATATTCCCACAAAACAAAAGTGTCGCATCACCGAGATTTTTGGTGGAGTAAACAATTTATTCTGAAGCAATATTTTCATCAGGATCATCATCATCATCATCTTCATCAGTGGAGGGGTTTGTTTATCGTTCTCTAAACCACAGATTAGTACATGCAGAGACTAAGGTCGATTTGCTTGAAAATATAGATATTAACGCGTTTAAAATATGGATTTAAAAATATGACACAATGCATAAATACTATTTCAGTTTTTCTATAAATTCAGTGTGTTTTACTATGTATTATTATTATTAATGTTTTGTTTATATTGTTTATATATTGTTTTATCATAGTATTAGTATTATCATTATATTGAAATCGCTTCTTTAAACAATTTTTTTTTTTACAATTTAAAAGTACTTTGTAAATGTTAAATTTACTAGTGATGTGAGTGATTTTTTTCTGCACCATTCATATCTTTTAATTCGTTGTAATTATTAGTGAAATTTACTAGCAATTTCTGAGTGAATTATTTTTCTTTTTTATGTTTTGTAACTATTTGTGAATTTTGCTAACAATTTATGAGTTAAAACGTTTTGTACACCATATTTTTTCACCTTTAAAATAAAATTACTCTTTGCAATTATTTGTGAAATTTACTAACAAACAATTTATTTAGTTTCAACAGCTGACTGAACACAAGACTGCAGTCCCTGCTTGAAATAATAGTTTTTGTGATACTTGAGGCCCACTTAGTTAAACCATTCACTCATATTCCTAATCTTTAGACCAAGTCTGCAAAACTATAAGCTCATTACATGCTTTAAACTCAGCTTGATATTGTAAAACAAACTTTCTGCAAAACTCTAAACAGTTCTCTACAGCACACACATCATTTTAAACTAACAGCTCTTTTGTTTAATTTGAGAAACACTGCCACACACAGTGATCATGTGTGAAAACACTGAACATGCATTCAAGCCAAGTCAGAAAGTCAACTTTATAAGTGCTTTATTCAATATAGACTGTTTCACAGCAGCTTCACAATAGCATCAGATTCACATTCTGCTGTAAAGCAGCTCTAACAAGTCAATAGTGTGCTTCTGCAGCTCGAGTCAGTTCAGTGTTGATTCAGTTCAGTTGCATAACTGTGTGAATTCATCTGTATATACAGTGTTTGTGTGCACATGCATGTACAGTATGTGTGAGCGCTGTGACACTCCTGTGCTTCACTGCTCTGAACACACTAAAGACACACGAGAGCAGTGTTGGACATTCTTCACATCTGTGTGTAGTTTGGCGTGTATGTGGATAATTATGTTATGTTTGTGTGTAGAGTTACTACGCAAAAATACCATTTTTAGAAGAGTTCAAATAGTTTTGAAGAAGTGTTTGCTTTTGCAAGATGTGTGTGACGTAAAGAATTGGATGCATTTTTCAAGTTTCATGAGATTCACTTTTATATTTTAAATGCATAATATTGAGTAATCAGTATATTATGATTTGGCACGAGACCTAGCTTTGCAGTGAGAGACACGCCGGGAGCCTGAAGGACGGAAATACAGAGGAATTACTACATAAGTATAAAGCAATTTCTGTGAATTATATCCAAAAATGCCTTACTGCTATAACACAGTGGTTACCATAAAAATATTATATGAATATATTTAATATATTATATAACATTTACACATTAATGCATTTACTAGATGCTTTTATCCAAAGTGACTTACAAAAGAAAAACAAAGCAATTGTCAAAGAGCCAGGTAAGTCTTTCTAGGAGAATTCAGTAGAGAGAGTCCAGAACAGTCCATGGGAGTGAACGGTAGACCGGACAGTGAGTAACTGAGATGTGTGTGTATTTGTAGTGTGGCTTGATTGGTGACAGCAGGTGCGGGTGATCAGAACTCAGGTGACTGTGATCGGGTGATTATCCTGGATGGCGACTGAAGTGACTGTGATGAATCCCTGACAACAATATTGTAATACACAATATTATATACTATGACAATATTAAAATTAAACAACAAAAAAATGTTAATTGTTATTTTAGTTTCAACAGGTACATCTAGCGTTTTCACAGAAACTCATGTTAAACCAGTGTTATTTTAGTATCACTGACATTATATTGTATTTTTTAATGAATATTTTGAATTTTATGTTTTATTTTTATATTTTGCATTTTCATTTTAGTTAATGTTTTAGCAATTTATTGGTGTTTTATTGAAATGTAAATGTTTGTACAGGTCTCAAGCACAGGTTAATTTCTTCTCCATGTATGAAATAACTGCATCATAAAACCATAAACTTGGCCTATGGTTACATTATCAACATATATACACTAACTATTATTAAGATCTGTTGATATTAAAAATAATTGCATTACCATTAATGTTATTTAATTGCCATTTTATTAACATTAAAAATAATAACAATAAAAAAGGCCTTTAAAATTAAAAAATGTAAAAGTCATGGGTTTAATTCCCAGGGAATGAATAAAAGCATACGCCAATGCATAAATAAATAATTATCATATTAACATTTTTAAATGATATATTTTTTTAATGGTTCCTCTAAAAAAAATTTTTATTAAATCTTCACTGAATGCATGTATTTTCGCATGTATGAAATGTTGTTCTAAAACTCTTTGGTTTATTCTGTCTTACTGCGGCAATAAATGACAGGATTCTCATCAGTAATCCATATTAATAAAAGTTCATGTTTTTGTACTGTGAGCTGCAGATTTTGATTGGTTTATGATGACAATCATGAGTTTTTGAGTTTTTCTCTCCAGGAAGCAGCAGGAATATGAAAGTCATTGGTGTGAATGTGGAGCAGCTCTGATTAATCCATATTCAACAGCAATCCTGTCTGTCTGCTTCCATCCTTAAAGAGGATCAGAGCTCAATCACGTGTGCGAGGACACGAGACGCATGAACACACACGCACGCCTGAGTCCATACACACTGTGTGATTCTACTCACTGAGTACTGACCTGCAGCAGAGCGCACACACACACACACACAGACAGACAGACACACACACACAGAGACACACACACACACACACACACTCACACTCTCACACACACACAGACACACACTCTCTCTCTCTCTCACACTCACACAAGCGTGTCACTGAAGACTGACATCTGCTGGACACCGACAGTAAAGCAGGACTGAAGCAGCAAAAATAATGAACAAGTTTCAACATGAAGGTCAGAAATTAAACTTGACATCAGTCACTAAATCAAACATGAAACATGCTGTCCTTCCATAAAAGCAATAAACCACTTGAGTTCATACATTAACTAAAATCATTAAAAAAAATGTTACATGAAAAAACTTAACATTTACTGATATTAGTGCTGTCAAATGATTAATCGCGATTAATTTCATCCAAAATAAAAGTTTTTGTTTACATAATATATGTGTGTGTACGGTGTATATTTATTATGTATATATAGATACACACACATGCACTTATATATTTAAGAAAAATATGTTACGTTTATATATTACATATATTAATATATGATATAATTTATATGAATATAAATATATACTTGCAAATACATGTTAATATTTTCAAAATATATGCTGTATGTGTGTGTATTCATATATGCATAATACACAGTACACACATATATTATGCAAACAAAAACTTTTATTTTGGATGCGATTAATCGCTTGACAGCACTAACTGAAATAAAATAAAATATGACTTCAACTAGTGGTCAAGGCTCATTTAACTTGATCTAATAAAATAACTAAAACTGAAACAAAAATAAGAACTATATAGACACATTGAAAAAAACAAGGAAAACTACAAAATGAAAAACAACAAATAACTTTTAAATTAAAATGAAGAGTAAATCTAACAATAAAAACTAAATAAAAAAATTTATACAAAATAATAGTATCTCAATTATTTAAAAACAAAATGCTGTTACACATGGCTTATTGCTTTAAAATACGTGTTTTATAATATCAGGAGAATCAGCAAACAGAGGACTCACAAAAGACTTCAGTTTATATTTGATAAAAACTCTTTCATTGAACAATAATCAGCCAGCAACAAACAAATGAAAAAGAGGGACAAAATAAAGACATCAGATAACAAATATTCATACCTTCTCTTTTAACTTCAGAAAAACACCGCGGTCTGAAACTCTCCATTTAACCTCGTCTGAATGAAGAGCTCGTTAAGACTTCATGATGTGATGATACTCATAATTGAACACAAAACAGAGATGATAATAAATCTACTGCACTTAATATTGAGCACAATATTGCAGCAGCACTTCAAAACACTGTTAAACTACGAGGACTTGAAATATAGATAT